TTTTTGTTTTAGTTATTTGAAATATTTTTAAACTGTATTTCCTATGCTCTGTACAGCAATTTGACAAGAAAGCGCTTTACAAATAAATGTATTATTATTATTATTATTATTATTAAATATCACAGTCCTTCTGGCCTTTGCTGAACCATGACCAACAGTTGGATTCTAGACAATCTCACAAGCATGTAAACCTTTCCATTAAATTGACTCACAATCTATGGTTTGTAAATGTTGCAGACAGATGAAGAGGGGCCTGAACGAGATGGACACATGGGTGTAAAAATCAGCTGAATGGAAACACACACACACACACACACACACACACACACACACACACACACACACACACACACACACACACACACACACAATGAGCTCTTGATGCATTAGCATCCAACGACAAGGGTCATCCATCATTTGCCACTGTGGAGAGAGAATGTGTGCGGTGGAGGACACAGACACTTACCACTGTACAGGTAAAGCTGAATCAATGAATGGACAAGAAACTACATAGTGCAAAATCCCTTGGGTATTTTCCATCAGTGAAGACTGCTGATTGGCTGAGTATGGGTGGCCAATCAGAGCCAACTGTTCCATGGTGGATGACTAACAGATTAGTGCAATCACTTATAAGGTACTCTGTGGAGTTTTTGACCACTATACAAAGCAAAATTAAATATGTAGCAGTGGCGCCCCCTACTGGTCCAGGCTGACGGCTACCCACCTAGAGCTGGGGTCGGTCCGAGATTTCTGCCACTTAAAAAGCAGTTTTTCCTTGCCACTGTCGCCAAGTGCTTGCTCATGGTGGTACTGTTGGGTCTCTATAAATAATGTTATAAAGGAGTTCGGTCTAGACCTGCACTATTTGAAAAGTGTCCTGAGATAACTTCTGTTATGAATTGGCGCTATACAAATAAAACTGAATTGAAATTGAATTGCTATGGTCTCACTTAGGGGTCACCAAAGCTTTTCAGGGGGTTGCGAGAAAACATGTTATTTTACAGCCTTGTACTGTATAGAGATAAAACAACAAAGAGCTAATAGAACAATAGAGTAAGCATCAGGGAGAAGAGAAAGGTGTGTTATGTCAAAAAAGAAGACTATTAAGTGTGTATGATTGAAAACAAAACATTGTTTACACTCTCATTTCACACATTATTATTATAAACATATCCTATAGCTGTAGATTATATCCATTATAGCATTACAGATTTCAGAAAGAAAGAAAGAAAGAAAGAAAGAAAGAAAGAGGAAGGTACATTTGAGGAAGGTACATTCAGGTCAATTCGATTCAAAGCCAATGTGACAAGTTAATTTTCTAGCCCGGTCATCTGAGGAGAGAGAAGAGGGAGGAGGTTGGGACAGAGCGAGGGGCTACACAAGGAGGGAAGTCTGTGTGTGTGTGTGTGTGTGTGTGTGTGTGTGTGTGTGTGTGTGTGTGTGTGTGTCTTAGGGAAGATGTATCAAAGATGAGGGGACAAGACACACACCTCCATGAGCCACCCTTGCTGAGTCTCTATCTCAAGCCAAGTGCAACACAGAGCTCTATGTGACTGAAAGTCTCCTCTCCTGATAGACAAAGTCAAACACAGCCCTCTACGATCCAAACCTCACAGTTTGACACTTAATCCTTAACAGGAATCTGAACATTAATTGTGATTATGCTACAGAGAAACATTTGTTAAAACTCAAAAAATGTTCAGGCACAGAGCAAATCACACCCCTGATACAGCAACGGACATTGTTCTACAGTTTAATGGTAATTTATATAGATATCTATATATCTAAGTGTACTTTGTCATTACAAATTCAGCTCTTTGTTCCCCAAATCCCAAAAACCTCACTTCAAAAGACAACTTAATGCACAATTATTTCAGATATACCTACCTCTATGACCAAAAGCACAACTTCCAAGATTTTTTTATACTGTCACACAAATGTCTGTATTTTCCACACAGTTTTAAGTCCCCTAATCGGAAGGTTGTTGGTTCGATCCCTGGCTCCTCCTGCCTGAGTGGTCGGAAGACTAGAAAGGCGCAATACAAGTACAGGTCCATTTACCATTTACCAGCTTGCATGTTAGTGTCATTATAACACTCATCCTTTTCCTCCTGCTCTATTGTTACCTTTGTCATCTTTCTAACAGTTTTGCCACTTCAGAAAGGTAAGTGGTAAGGTAAGGTTAAAGTGATAAATTAACTCTACTGTTACCAACGTGTATTTTCTAACCTCAACTTTCACATTACAATCAAGTTAAGGTAACTTAAGAGTTGGGACCAATTTGATTCAAATTTCGGCATCAGGTGCCAATACTGACCTAATTCCCCCAACATGTTAGTAAAACACAGACAGACAGTCTCCATGGCATTCAGAGACTGTAGATTAACAATGGAATCAAATGGACAACATCAGACAACTGAAACCAACGGTAAGGGGTCAGTGATTAAAGCTCCTCCAGTGCTAGCACTCTTCTTCTATCTTGCAAACATTAAGCCATTTAGTTATATTACAATACTCCCACCTAGTGGAGTCCACTGAAACTGCATTGTAAGGTAATTTTCGAAGAACACTAACCAAAGCATTTATCTTTAGTTACCCATTGTTTTTAAAAGAATGATTTCATTATTTTAAAATATAAAATATTGTCAGACTAATTAAAAAAGGCAACAAAATAATCATACGCTAATGGAAAGATATTCCATTAAGTTTGTGTCTGAAAGAAAAAGAGTCAGCCAAATACAGATATCATGCCTGTTATCTTAACCAATATTTCATCATATAATAATCACTGTGTTTATATATGATTCCATTTTCTGACACATGACACTGGACTGAAAGAGTATGCATGATAATTTTAGGAGGTTCACAAACAGAATCTTTTCCCAAATTGAAAAAGGGTTCTGCTGATCTTGATACAACTGCAGACAGATCGGAATATTTAACTGTCTCCACTTCAGATGGTGTTACTTTCCATTATTACTGAACCATTGTTCTCTAAATGTATATTCTGGCCCAATGCCTCCCCCTGTTGGTCATGGTGGAGTATTTCAGGTACATCACTGTTGCTCACCACCAAGGGAGACTGAAGCCAGATTGAACAGCTGCAAATGGCTGCTTGCCACAGGACAGGAGGAAGGAGGTAATATGTATTTTATGAATGTATAATGAAAGACATTTTGACATGCTGACGGTAGGAAAAGCACAGTTGTAAATATTAAAATCAATGGTTAATAATACCACCTGTGAGGTAAAAAATAAGAGAGAAAAAGGAGAGAAGGATGCCCCCCAAATGGTTCATTGTTTAAGGTTAAAAAAAAAGTAAAATTTAAATTTAATAAATAAAACTACAGAAGGTTCTGAGATCCTGGTGGATTAAGTAGGGAATAAATAGGATAAAGTGTCCAAAATCTTTCAAATATAGTCTTGCTTCAGGAAATGAAAGTCTTGATTCTATAATTAGACACACTTAAAAAAAGTGTTCTCTTTTCCAGGAACACCCTGATCACATTCACACATGCCCAATACAACCACAGTCTGATCTGCTAGCCACAGTGTACTGGCCCTGCGGTTAAGGGCCTTGCTCTAGGGCACCTCAGTGGTGGTAACGAGGAGAGTCAGACAGATGACGCCGATCAGGCCGATCACTGATCACTGGAAGCAGTATCAGCTGATACTGATCACAGCATTGTTTAACTTTTCTTATTTATTGAACTATTCTTAACAACTAATGCGGGGCAACGATTACATTCTTTAATTGCGATTAATCGCAGTTACACAAAATTCAATAATGAATTCAAAAGTAATGTATTGCACACTTTTATTTTAAAGGTACAGCTATATGAACAAAAGTGCAATAACATTTGGTTTGCACTTTACACTTTAAACAAATAAGGTGCTTTTTAACAGCAGTATTCCCTTTACACAGTAGAAGTTAATATAAGTCTTGCACTATCTGTGCTAAGTGTGCTGACTTTATTTGAAACGTTCCACTGCTGTACAACATGAATAAAATGTTCCGCGCACGTTTCAGCAAAATGTCTCTCTTCTGTTTTCATAACAGTCAGAGCATGTGAATGCAGCTCCCACTGTCCATCAATATAAAGTACTGTAACTCAGAGGTAATTATGGTTACCCAGCGATGTCCAGTAGTCTCCAGTGAGAGCAACAGGTGATGCACATTGTAACGCGTCGCTTTTGTAGTCCTCTCCTTTTCATACAACTTGTGCATTCTTCATATGATGGTGCGTTTTGAGGGATGTGTGCCGTCATTTGTTCTATAGATCCTATCTTCCACAATACTAATCAGCCTGCAGTTTGTAGCTATCCAGTTCGGGCTATGGAATTTGTTAGCTTGTCTGGCTTTTGTTTATCTATACTTCTCCCACACGCTGCGTCCAACGTAGTCTGCTAAAGCCTCCCTCCACTCCCCTCCTGTGACCCATGGTTTGCCTGGATGTATATTCAGAGACAGTGAGCAACGGACTTTCAAAATAATAATAATAGTAAAAAAACTATTGTTGGCGTTAATTAATGCGGTAACGCGATAATAACGCGTTAACTTGTCCAGCCCTATTAACAACATTACTATTCTTAACATAACAAACTTAAGAAATTATAAAGTATCATGAATTGAAAACTGTTTATTTATCAGCAGGCAACATATTCTACTCTCTCTCTGAGACACAACTTTAACCATAGCAGCCTACCATGGTTTTTGGGAGCAGCTCAGTTATTTAATCTGGTTATCTAACAAGCAGCATAAAGTTTTATTTGCTACTCTGGGCATTAACGTAGTGTTTTTCCTGAATGTCCATAGGATGTGTAACATTAGACAGTCTGTCCGTGCTTACTGGCGCAGACACAGCACTCATAGTAAATCAATTGAAAAGTAATGAAAGTATGAAAAGTTTGGTACCCAGCCCTACAATGTACCAAGGATATATGCTCTGTCTCCTTAAGGGTGCTGATCATGTGTGTGCGTGTTCAGTGTATCTGCCTACCTGCACCAGTTTGTAGAAGTAAGCATACTGGCGTGCAGTGTTTTTATACTGGCTCAGGATATCCAGCACTGCTTGTGTGCCCAGCAGCAGCTGCACCTCATCCTGCTGGTAGTACAGCGGTGTGTCGTACTCCTGAGGAAGACTGCGGATGTACGGCAGCCAGAATGAAGCAGGATTGGACCGCTCACACAGCAGGTGGAAGGCCAGCGTCACGTTGCCCATGGCCTGTAGGATCCTGTCCTGGCTGTATAGCGGACCTGAGACATAGAGATTACAGTCAGTTACAGGACACCAGAACGCTACTTTTGAATCTTATTTTAATGCTGTCGTACAGGTTGAAATTTGCACACAGTGGAAGTGAAAAATCTAACAGAATATCTGTGGTGGAAGAGATTAGATGTGCAACAGCCCCCTATACTGATTTGGCCATTTGCAGGTTAAATGAAGTACTTCCTTACCCAGTATAGAGTTCTGGGCCGACTCCACCGTCATTAGCATCTTCCTGGGAATCCACAGGAATAGTTCATCTGCCTACACACACACACACATACTGGAAGCTGTTAAAATAACCAGCTACATGTGACTGGTGATGAATGCATACAGTTTCTGTAGTGCATTTTTTAATTTGCATCTGGAGAAACTTAAACAGCAGCAAAAAAAACACACTGGTGAAATCTCTAGGCGATAATATGGCCGACATCTTAAAAGGTGCAGTGTGTACTGTACTACGAGTTTGTTTACCATCGAAATGACTTCGAAGCTGGTATATTAAGGTAAAACTCTTGCATAGTGTGCCTTTAAAAGCGTCACATTGCCCACTGGGTTGACCTCACCTTGATGTCTCTGGTGGCCCGCAGGCCATAGCCCTCCGTCCCAAAGTTGGTCACTGTGAAACCGTCACAGGACGCCCTGTTTTCCTGAGCCCAGGACATCAGGTCTGGGTAGTAGTCGTCTCTGCTGCCCTCAAACACTATGGACATACCTACACACACACACACACACACACACACACACACACACACACACACACACACACACACACACACACAGCGAAGATTAAACTTAATTATTCTTCAGCACTGTTGGATAAGATAAAATAAATGCAAAAAGGTTAAAAATATTGTTTGTGTGTTTATGTACTCACCCTTCTGTTTCTTGCGGATCTTTTCCACTAAGCCTTTGATCTGGATGTACTCCTCCCACTCTTTGCCAGTGGAAGGTGCTGCACTGCTGCATTCTGGGGAGACACATGTTGTGTTGTTCCATAAATACCTCAACTCAATCACTAACCATACATTTACCCATATAGCCAACAAACCTTAAAAGAAGCAATGTGTAAGATAAGATTTATGGTTCATAAATGTTAAAATGCTGCAAAAAAATTACATTATCAACTAAATGTGAAGACAATATGTCAAATACATCCATGTACTGTGCTGCAAAGACATCTATTGAAATCAGCCTGGGTACCAGCCAGACCCAGCCTGTAATGTCTTGTAATACCACTACAATACAATTAAAGTGAGACACTGTAGCTTCCAGTCTGCCATCAGTTTAATACAAGGATGAGGAAGTTGAGAACTGAGTGGAAAGGAGAACCGCACAGACTGCGCAGCTATGGATAAGAGGTAGAGCAGGTCGTCCACTAATCGGAAGGTTTTTGGTTCAATCCCAGGCTCCTCCCTGCTGCCTTGAACAAGATACTGAACCCCAAATTGCTCACGATGCTGTGTGCGGTGTGTGAATTTGCATGAATGAGTTAGCTTCTGTTCAATGGCATCCCAGTGTGAATGAATGTGTTTGACAGGGTGAATGTGGCACACAGTGTAAAAGCGCTTTGAAAGCATCACAAGACTAGAAAGGCAACTACAGGTCTACAAATGCAGGTCCATTAACCATCCATTTACAACTGCTGAGGCCAGGGTCGAGGGGGAGTCCTAGAAAAAAACCAAGAGGCAGAACACCTGGAGTCATGCCAGATTCTGCACTGAAATGGAACAATTTACTGGTAACTCAGGGTATATTCTTTTTAAATTTTGGAATTAAAAAGTGGATTAATCTTTACTCTTGCTTCTTAATATGTCAGCAGCAGCAGCGAGCATAGAGCCGACCTCCACTGTTGTTATTGTAGCTGTCTGTGTGCACCCAGAGCTCTATGATACTATATCATATCTATACAGAGACAAAACTAAAACATTGCTTGGAGGAAAGTAAGCAAGGAAGTTGTTAGTATAGCCCTGATTGATCGAAACTCCATTCTGAAAACAAGCATTTCAAAAGTGTTGTCTTGTGGCTACATTTATATAGCATCAGGGATTTACTCAATGACAGAGAAGGAGTTCCTTAAGGAAAAAGATTGGGAACCACAGTTCTAGATTCCAACATGCCTTTAAAACAAATACTGCATATGCATTCATGCGAGTCAGCAATGTAGAAATGTAGGAATGTAGAGGTTGAAGGTAAACGTACTCTGAAGCAGTTCAGAGATGAGGTTCATCATCTCTTTGGGGGAAACTACAGCACTGGCTCCCGTGCCCGACTTCTGAGTTTTCACTCGACTCTTCTTTCCCATGGTGCTCGATCGACAACTGGGTTGAGAAGACACACCATTATTACTGTTAGCATTTCATACAAGTACTCACTATGTCCAATACAACAGTGTACTGTTTAAAGCTCTCAGAAATTCAACAGGTCAAACTGAAAGGTAGACATCACATTTGTTTCATTAACATCCTGTTCAAAACAGACAAACTGATAAGAATAAGGTTGGATAAGTGGGCTTGTATATTGTAGTCAACAGAGGGTACAGAGAATACAATAATGAGGTAATTTACAGCTGCTCTGACCAGGACTCAGAGTCTGAGGACGACGAAGACATGGTGGAGACAGGCCAGGACAAGAGAGGCATCGAGCGGGAGAGGGGGGAGAGGAAGGTCGGGCATCAGAGAAGCACCAACAGCACGTAGATACAGAATATTTTCAATTCTAACTAGGTTAGACGCCCAGAGCCACATTCCACCTATTCATGGTTTGATTTTTTAACAAGGAGTTTCTTGAGATCAGTGTGCTTTTGTCTTGAGCCAGTTTTTGTCAGAATTTTTTTTTGGATATATCAGGCATTTGTCTGTTGTGCTTATTTAGCCTGAAAGATATCAAACTCACAACAGTGAATAAGATCAGACAAAAACAATAGAGCAGCTGTGTGGTGGAGATAAAAGCTGAACGTAAATAAACAGTATAGAAAAGTAACAACATCAGTATAAGGGCTGCACGATATGATAAAAAATGTTTTGACACAAATTGCGATTCAATTAAAATTTCACCACAGTACATCATTACAATGCTGTTTGTCACTTAAATAAGAACATGAAACAAAATGGTAGAGCATCAACAAGCTAATCTGCTCATATTATCTTATAATGTATTTTTCTATACATTTATAATTAAAAACTAACACATTTTTTATACATATATAAAGAGTTTAATGTCATTGTGGAATACAGTTCATTACATACAACATTTTTATTAGATTATTTTACATGTGATTTTTGCCTACAAATACCATATCATCTGAAACGGATGCACTGATTGGGAAATTCTGGGTCAATACTGATACCAATGTTTTAAATAACAATTTGGCCAATAACCAGTGTATTAGCAAAATCTGAATTTTTCAAAAGATCTGATTTTCTAACTCTAGTGCTATCTAGGCATGCCAGATGTTTTCATTTTATGAGGATTTCTGCCTTCTCCCTAATACAATGGAGCTGAATGGAATTTCATTTATGGTCCTCACACTATTGAAAAAAAGAAAACATGAACATGAAAAAAAACTAGAACAATAACTTCTCTTTGTAGAAACCACGTCCTCATTATTTTGGATAATTTGAAGACCTTGCTGTGAACTGTCTACTTTCAACAAAAAATATACTATTTTTGGATGTTTCAAGCACAACAAATCTCAAATTCAGGAAAAAAAAAAACACTTTGTCACACTACTATTTGAGACACAGACTGCAACTGCTCACTTTGCAACTGGCAAACACTAGTTAATATCTGTTTGCTTTGGCAATATAAGCACTATTTTTTCATGCCAATAAAGCTCATAAATTGAATTGACTGCAACTGCTCACCTTGCAACTGGCAAACACATGGCTGTGACAAAACAGACATGATCATCATCGGCCCCAAATCCATCACTAAAGCCATTCACAGTTTCTCCCTCACTGTCGACACCTCCACCCTGTCTCCATCCCCTCACGGTCGCAACCTCAGAGTCATCTTTGACAATAACCTTTCCTTTGAACACCACATAAACCAAATGACCAGAACTACCTTTTTTCACCTAAAAAAAAATTGCCCGACTCCGCCCATCACTCTCTTTCTCCGCTGCTCCTCTTAGCTTAGTCTGATGTGTTTTTTAGTGTTTTACTATTTTATGTTGTTTTGCTGCTTTTATGTTGTCTTTATGTAAAGTGTCTTTGAGTATCCAGAAAAGCACTTATAAATAAAATTTATTATTATTATTATTATTATTATTATTATTGGTTCTCTGAAAACTGTGCACTGGTCTAAAATCAAAGACTTACCAATTTCCAGTTACATTCAATACAAGTTTTACTATATTTTCAAACAGCTCACCTACCAAAGGCTGTGGTTGAATCTGCCAGATGTTTACTTTGCTTTTATCAAACTATGCATACCAGGCCTATCTGGCTCCTCAGTGTTCTCAGGCCAAAGAACCATCAGTCTCCCAGCTAAAGACTAAATGACTAGAGGCCTGTCGCCCTGACATCTGTAGTGATGAAGTCCTTTGAAAGACTGGTGTTGGCCCACCTGAAGGCCATTACAGTCCCCTTACTGGGCCCTAGGGCTGGGCGATATGGACCAAAAGTGATATCCCGATATATTTAAGCTGAATATCGATATACGATATATATCCCGATATTTTTTCTGCAAAAAGAGAGCAAATGTTCAGTCTCTCTCTCTCTCTCTCCCCCCCCTGTCTCACTCTCTCAATTCAAATTCAAATTCAAATTGGGCTTTATTGGCATTAAAGTTTTTTTTTAAAACAATATTGCCAAAGCAAAGCATCAAAATACAATAAGTCGAAATATTCAGACAATACACAATATGAAAGATATATACGTTATGAACATTATATTAGTTATATACAGTGTGTGTGTGTGTGTGTGTGTGTGTGTCTGTCTCTCTCTCTCACACACACATACACAGACACACCTACACACACACACTTGTGACCTGAAGTTAGGCTGCATTATAACTTTTAAATTAATATTTTCAGAAGGCAGTAAGGCTGTTAGCGCTCACCAAAACTGCTACCGTTATTACACAAGCAAGTACAATTACGTTAAAACAACGTAACGTAAGGTAACGCTATTACTGAGCTGTCCATTAGGTTGACTCAGCAACAAGTGTCTGTAACGTTAGTAACATGGTATGATAAAGATTTGCTGCCTGTAAACAGAACAAGCACCCATCCCGACTAAAACCACACTCAATATTAACGTTGTTTTGCTGACATGAATCATGCCGAGCTTAACAAGCTAAAGCTAGCTAACGTTAGCACGTTAAGGTACCTGTAAGGTCAGTTAATTACTCAGCAGTTAGCTAACCTAACAGTCTGACAACGTTACAGTCTAAATTATGGATATGAACATAAACATTACGTTAGGTTATTGAAAGAGGAGGGGCAGTGGCGGGGGCCCGGGGAGCAGTGCAGAGAGCTCCGGGTCAGCAGCTTGCTTGGAGCAAGGATCACAGCGCAAAACTGAACTAACGTTATATCGATATATGCGATATGGTCTAATTCCACATCACATTTTAAAATATATAATAAAATAGATATATTTTTTATATCGATATATCGCCCAGCCCTACTGGGCCCCCAGCAGTTTGCCTACTGGGCAAACAGGTTAGTGGATGATGCAGTCAGACTTTAGGAGGAGGCTGTGTCTGCTTTAGAAACCCACAGGACCTCCCAGGACACAGAAGTGGGAGTTCAACATAAAAAAAATTAAAAAAACATCATTAAGAAGGCCGAGCAGAGGATGTCCTTCCTGCGTCAGTTCAGGAAGCTCAACCTGCCTAAGGAACTGCTGATCCAGTTCTACACTGCCATCCATTCAGAACCTGTACTTGTCCAGAGTCAGGAAACAGGCAGGAAATATCACCGCAGATCCATCTCACCCTGGACACAACCTGTTCCAACTCCTCCCCTCTGGTAGGCACTACAGAGCACTGTACGGCAAAACAAAGAGACATAGGAACAGTTTCTACCCACAAGCCATCACTCTGACGAACAGTTAACTGCCCTGTACAATAACCCTAGGACTCTTATATCCACTGAACCTGAAATATGTATTAATTATATCACTCTAATTCATCTACCTATGCTCTGCATACTATACTGTCATATCCACCTACCTCATTTACATAAAGTAACCTGCACGTGAAATATTTGCTTCACCATCATTTGCACTCTTGTCTACAAATGTTAAATACACATGTATAACTGTACATATTAGTCTGTGTCTATTTTGTTGAACTTGTTTTGTCTATTTATGCTGTTAGTATGTGTTTGTACATTGACAGCAATGTGAAACCAGAGTCAAATTCTTTGTATGTGTGCACATTCCCTGGCCAATAAAGTGATTCTGATTCTCACATCTCTACAGCACCTCATTGGCAGCCTGATATGTCATTATGAGGAGTAGGTTGCACGGTTAGGCCTACGGCTTTCACACCACCAAATGACACCTTTAAATAGACAAAGTGCCAATGTGCAGTTTACATGGAACGATGAAATTTCCTACTAGCCTTAGGATGACTAATATGAATTTTGGTAGTTGGGGTCTTTCTTTCTGAAAGGGCCCTCCACCCCACTACATGTGTGTTTCACTCTCCCTCTCATAAACACTCACACAGCAGATGGCTGCTTAGTGACATTCAGTAGCAGCTGTGCAAAACCAATCACAAAAAACAACTGTCCAAAAACAATTCTCTATAACCACTAGTAGACACAAAATAACATTGGCATGCATTTAAAGTTGTGTCCTTTTAGTCTCTACCAACTCCTGGTGGAGATATCTAGTTCTTTAGCTGCCAAATGCTCCAGTATGTTCATTAGGTAGTTGCTAACTTTATCTGACTGCTGTTTGGTTCCAACATTGTTATCAGAGCTTTTTTAGCAGAAAAACAGCTGTCTGAGTATGCCACAACTGTCCCGAATTCTACTTTCAACAACTGTCCCAAATTGAAGGGTGTTTTTTTTATTGTACATATAATGAATATAGCTTAATGACTTTGGTTAAGTCAGTGGCATGACTTCATTGACTCACTCCATTCTGCTGCTGATGCTGGAAATCACATTTTGAACAGTATTCAGACAATAAGTCAGCAATGGCCATCAGTGTCTTACTGTAATTAGTACTGTATGCACATTTTCAATTTCACCAAATTTTGCTGCACAATTAATTAGAATATTATTGAAATCGCAATATGACAAAGTATGACAAAACAGTATCATAATGAAATAATGTAGTGCTGTAAAGATGCCGTTTTTTGTTTTTTTTTGGTACAAACATTTCACATCATTATGATTGATTTGAATAGTTTCTTTTTTCAGTGAAAATTAAATTTGTGACGCAAAGATTCCCACTAATTGCAAATCATATCACAATCGTAATATCTGTAAAAATAATCAAAAATGACTCCTCATAGTGGGTAATTCCGATTTGCACACAACTGTGCACATAGACTCTACGCAACTTCATGACCAAAAGCTATTAAAAGAATTTTGATAATCCAAAAATTGGTCACCAGGTGGCGCCTGTTCAATTCAATTCAATTTTATTTGTATAGCGCCAATTCATAACAAAATTAATCTTTTTCTGTTTGAGCCCGACCTATGACAGCAGTTTTGTGCCACAACCAGCAGGTTGGGTCAGGTCCAATCTGGTCAAAGATCCCCCAGTCAGATCTGGCCGATGTGGCCAGGGAAAGGGAAGTTTGGGGTCCTTTGCTGGAGCTGCTACCCCCACGGACCGATCCCGGATAAAAATTATGATGATTTTATGAACAAGTCCGGTTTTTTTCATTATTTTCACTGGACACCCAACAAATGTTTTTAAAAAGTAAGTTCTACTTTGAGTAATTAGGTCATTTAACTTGAGTAACTTTGCCAAACCTTTTACTTCGAGTCATTTTTTGGGTGTAACCGTACTAGCAGTGAATAGATTTTATATAGAAGTATTCTACCCACCACAGCCAAATCTGGAAAATCGGTGAGATATGTACAAAGTATCATTTATTTTACTTAAATTACATAATACACTAGAATAAAGCTTCCTGACTCCAGCAACCCACAGTCTAATGGCACAGCTAGCAGCGTGGTTTGTCACGAATGCAGCTAACGTTAAGTGTTTGCTGATATGTTACGTTAACACTGAAATCAATCAGTTTGGGCAGTGAACACTATCTTAACTATAACCAGGCAGTGCAGCCCGGGGCAACATTTAGAACATGTCATAAATTAGTTACTAGCAAGGTTTTATCCCCCAACCAACTCCAAGCTGACTAGTTACACTAGCTGCCCCACTGCTAGTAGCTCCTCGGGTTATATGTAACGTTAGCATTTCCCACTAGGCCAGCAGCTAGCTTACTAGCATTGAAGAATCACGCCCATCGGAGCAGGGACGTAATTGGAGCGGGGCAGGGTAACGTAGCTCATTCATGTACACTGACTAAACGTTACCAGGCTAGCTGTTAGCTGATTAGCTGTCAAGTGATAAAGGATCAGCCTGAGTTTTAAAAGGGGCTAATCTGCCGGATTGTCTGGCGAGCCAGTCATGTCTTCTAAGATACAACCGCATCTACAACACATACACGCATTCATACAAAACAACACTCAACACCAAGTCAGAACTTCACTAAACTAAACAGAAGCATTTTTCTCCGTTTCAGTCATACCTTTTTTAAGTGACAGCAGCAGTTCCTCTCTTCCTGCACTGAAACCAATCTTGACTGAGTCCCGCCTGTGATTGGAGTAGTCGTAACCGACACCCACAAAAACAACACTACATTCTGGTCTTCTAATTGGTTGATAACCAGCACCCTCGCGGAACATGACTGACGCCCCCAACGCGCGTTGCAATTGGACGCTTACTTTTAGACAGCTTTAAAACAACCATATATGGTAATGTTTGGGCTACAGTCATTGGTTGAAACATTTGTCAATCATAAATGTGGCTCAGGCGTAGTACGGTAGTCTTTGTTTGGACATAGTGGCTCGCTTGCAGCAGGAGTACACCGCTACTAGTGCAGATTCAGAATATTCCACTTTTTATATATATCAGTGGGATTAGACATGACTCGTGTTAATTACTGTGAAAAAAAAGCAGTAGTTTGATAAGTAGTAGTTATAAACAAATTGTGTTGCGGTTTTGTATTGTTTGTGTCTCTTCCATTGCTGTAACTTACAGTGGATGTGTGAGTAGCTAACGTTATAGGAACGTTAGCATATCGTTGGCCGACTGACTGGAACAGTTCCTAGCAGCTTAAATGTAGTTTATTCAACACAGCACAACAAGAAATCCAGCATCAAGCCCTGCTGCTAGCGGGACTAACACAATCTGTCCACCCTGGACCTCATCAGACCCCTCTTATTCTGGGACAGGAAGGACACGGCGACCCTGGACCACATCAAACCATGCTGGTATTGGGACAAAAAGGACTTGGCCCACACTCCATCCCAGTCAGAGGGACTGGACCCTGCCACTGAGGCCCGGTACCGCAGAGAAGGGGCTCGGTTCATCTTTGATGTGGGCACACGGCTCGGATTGTATCCTTTTGTGGGAAATATGAATGGCTAACCTACACGAAACCCACTAGCTACTGTATGGCATTTACATGAAAGATAATGATTGGTTACATAAACCATCACCTGGTACACAGTTAGACTGTATCATAGATTGCTTGCTATACGGAGCACATCCGTGTACACATCCGTACTGCTGTCAGGACAGTGAACATTTCAGAAAATATGACTAACTTATGTACTTGAATATTCAAGTACATGTTAAAAATGAAAGCATGTATAGCTCTTACTTTAGTTATCCAGTGTGGTATAGTGAAATGTTAGGCTCTGAAAAAGGAAGCCGTCCTTCCTGAGACTGATTGACAAAGTTCCTGTCCACACTGTTGAAGTCCCTCTGTCAGTCTTCTTAACCTCTGTGGCTGCAGACACTATGACACACTGGCTACTGGAATTGTTTACTTCCATCGCTTCTACATGTTCCACTCCTTCAAGCAGTTTCCTAGATATGTAAGTATGGTCTTTTGTTTCTGTCAGGCTTGGGGATCTGTGTACTGCCATTTGGTGATGATGAAACTTAATCTACCCACTGTGATGTGTGGCAACACTACGATGTTCCACAAAGCCATCAGTTCGCTATTAAGAGCACTTGGGCACTACTTCATGTACGTTTAAGCTTTTACTGTTTTCTGGGAAGTATTGGAAGAAGAAATACAAAACTGCAATAATTAACTGTTAAGCCTAACTGGGGTAGACAGCTCAAGTGACTCCTCTACACCGCAAAATAGCCCTTCTAGTAAAGAGGCCAAATATTCTTAAATAAAATTAAGTTTTCTTGTATTCTTCGGCAAGCCAATTTAGCTTGGCTAGAATTCTTAAAACTAGCATTAAAATCTGGCAACTAAAAGACTGAAATGGGCCTTAAAACTAGAATAAAAGCCATACATGTAAGCATGTTGTGCTTATTACAAGCAATAAAAACTCAATTATTTTAGATAGACTTATAAATAAGTATTTTGGTCAATTTTATTGAGCTAAATTTAAGAATTTGTACCTTAATCAAAGATTAATAATTAGATTAAAAAAAACCTCCAAACAACATAATAATGACAAGCGACTTTGTTTTAAATGAAGGCACCAGAAGCATTTTTAGTATAGGATTTTTTATTAAAGCAATGAAAAACTAAACAGCTGCACTGGGATGAGACTACTTTGTCCTAAACTGAGAAGTTGTGCAAGTAGTCTTCTTTAGAACTATTACATCTTCTCTTAAAAACTGCAGTTAAAACTGAACTTATTGTAGAATTTGGAGGAATACATTTTGTCCCTAACCTGGTGCATGTACCTGTAGGTGACAGGAGGATGCTGCCTTTTCCTAGCAGGCAAAGTGGAGGAAACTCCAAAGAAGTGCAAAGACATCATCAAGACAGCTCGCAGCCTGCTTAACGACATCCAGTTTGCACAGTTCGGAGATGATCCCAAGGTCTGTAGAAAGAAATCCTTTTATCAGGACATGACTAGTGTCTTGTTGAAAATGCTGTATTGATCGTCATGGCAGTTGTGTTTGTACAGCACATTTTGGAGGACACATCCTGGAAAACCGTGAAAATCTGGGAGTTTAGAGACAATCATGGAAACACCTGTAAACTCATCAAATGACCAAATATCCTGTAAATAATTTACTGGCAAAACTATTTATTTTTTGTATTCTATTTTAGCCCCTAACTCGTATTGCTACTGAAAGTGTTAGGTAAACTACTTTGTGAAAACAGCCCGTCCTTAAAAAGAAGATCTGTAAAATGATCATCTTGTCTTTGCAGTGCCTTGGGAAAATTTACAATTCATGCTGTCTCACTACAGACAGACAACTTTAACTGTAAACTGTAACTTTATCATCTATGAAATTCTGGGTAGGTTTTTCTTGTGAAGTCTGTTCCCATTTTAGAATCCTTTTCCTAACAGGAGGAGGTGATGGTGTTAGAGCGCATCCTGCTCCAGACCATCAAGTTTGACCTGCAGGTGGAGCATCCTTACCAGTTTCTTCTGCGCTATGCTAAGCAGCTCAAAGGTACCTCTGTTTGTCTTTGTCCATTTCTGTGGTATTTTGCAAAAATTCAGAATTGACTAATATATTGAGAAAAATGGTACATAAATTAAGACCTTGAACTGTAGTGTGCCTAGGTTAATTAAGCCTAAATCTTTATCTTTATATTTATTTAATCTTTAAAATTATTAGTATTGAAACAGTGTAGTCCCCTCAGTTACATTTACCAAAACATTTTCAAGTATGTTGGACCTGATGGAGGAACTACTGTTGTTTTTCAGGTGACAAGAACAAGGTACAGAAGCTGGTTCAGATGGCCTGGACTTTTGTGAATGACAGGTAAGGTCAGGAGCTCCCTTCCCACACAGACACCTGTTGATAGTTGACTCTGTTTAGGACCCGATCAGGGACGTCTCCATGGCAACCTGCTGTGTTATCGCGATGACACCATGTGAATTGAGGCACTGATTGAGAGGCTAGACGAAGCGACTCTCCAGGCTTATGTGCACACACGCACCCATGGACACGCACGCGCATATGCAACACACCCCTCTCTTTTCCTCTTGTAAATGTCATTGGGAGCATAGGAAGGACCAGAATAACCTGATTCTTTCACAAATTATTGTCTCATGTAGTTGCATCAGTAAATAGTGAATGCTTTAGCAAATTTGAAAAGTTATGTTTACCTACTGCTGCTTTAAACTTTAAAATGGTAGTAATTTATTCATAGTTTCTGTGGAATTTATTATGTGCCGATTTGGACAGATGTGTACTTGGGGTATTCGAATAATACTGTCCATTGTGGTTCTCCCAAGCCTTTGCACTGTGGTGGCCCTGCAGTGGGAGCCACAGATCATAGCGGTGGCTGTTATGTATCTGGCTGGACGTCTCTGTAAATTCGACATCCAGGACTGGACCTCCAAGCAGTCGTCCCGGCGCTGGTGGGAGCAGTTCGTCCATGATGTGCCTGTTGAGGTGCTGGAAGGTAATGGCAATACTGCCACACTATTCACGGTATATTTAGTATATAAGCTTTTCTAAATGTTTAACCTTTTCTCTCCTGCTCTCTTCCATCACAAAGATATCTGCCACCAGATCCTGGACTTGTATTCTCAGGCTAAGCAGCAGATGCCTGATGGAGGGACAGGGACTGGGGAAAATCTCCCTCCACCTTCCATCCTGTCCCCTTCAGCCCCACCACCGGTGAAAAAGGCCTCCCCTCAAACCAGCCCCAGACCGCCTAGACCAGCCCAGGTGAGTCGACTGCATGCATCTCAAACTGTATGTACTGTAGTGTTTGTGTTTGATCCCATTTTATGCCTTCAGTTGACACTACTTGTCTTTTTTAGCCCTCTCCCAAAGATGACAGCAAGGCTGCTAGTAAGTAAAAATCTTGCCTCCATAGCAGATACCAGACACACTGAATGACTCACAGTTGATTCTAAGCTCATTAACTTATACACTGTCTTTTTTAAATTGTTTCTCTTTATCAATGCCCTCTTTGTCTTTTTGTTTTCCAGAGCTCACAAGTCTAGAACCTCCTCCACCTCCTCTTCCACCCCCTCCTCCTCCTCCAGTCTCCATAAACCCAGGTTAGAATCGTCTGCCCTTAACTCTATTTTAACACTCCATTAGTTGTCCACATTGTGTTTTGTTGTCCTGAATGAAATAAAACCACATTTCTTGAGTAAAATATATTGGAATATTATTTTCTACTTCTTTTACCTTTTTAACTTTTACCTGCTGTTACTGTCCCATTCCTGACGGTGTCAGCAGAGGACCATTTATAACTGAATTATTCCCCTTTATGGCCTAAGAGCATGGGAGCTGTAAGATTAGAATTTGTAAGATTATATGGAATTCATTCTACTTTTGGTATTACTGTGAAGTTATGGACTGTTATCATATATATATTCTTCAACACTTCTTTTGCTTGTTACTGGATCTTTGCACAGAAAGACAAATTTTCCCATTCAAAGTTTTTTTTAGAATAACATTCACTGCATCTTTCTTTTCTCCCACAGACCATAAACCCCCTTCCTCTTACCCACCAGCCCCAGATCTCCCCTCTAAACCACCCCCTCCACCCTTACCCCACTGCCCACCTCCACCACCTCCTCCGCCCAAGGACCTCCCCACCTCTAGCTCCCTGCTGTCCAGTGAAGGCTACCAGAAGCTCCAGTCCATGATGACGACAGAGGGCTCCTGTTACACTGTACCTCAGGCCTGTGTTCCACCACTGGCCTACCACCACTACCCCCCAGGCACCACCTCCTACCATACTCCCCCGCTCTCAGCCTACAGCTACCTGCTTGCACCTCCACCACCTTCAGTCATGGGGATGGCACCTAGTTTGAGTGGTGGATACCCCCCACCATCAGCTGCTGGACACAATCAGCTACCCCCTCCGCTGCCACCCGGGATGCCCCCTGTCAGCGGGCTGAGTCGGAGTACATGGATGAGATAAGGGCAGCTAAGACAGCAAAAAGTTCAGATGAAATGTTTTAAAATAGTTCCAATTGATATCACCACAGCAGGCAACTTTAATGGTCTTGAGCTTTTTAAAGCTGCAGTTGGTAATTAGATTAAGTTAATTGTTGAGTCTCATTCCCAAGTCGTCAAATACAGACTTGGAATGAAACTCAACTATCTTCCAGCTTCTGACCCAAAGCATCTTTTTATCTTTCTCGGCTCTGATTTGTTGTTGGTTAGTTTTTGGTCGGGCCCGATGGATTTTTGCAAATTACATTAGGAGCATTAGAATGAGCCAGACAAACTTGATTTCTTTTCACAGATTATCTGTCTCGTGTACTACTGTCAGGATAAAGTGAAGGTTTCAGCAAGTATGACAAAGTTATTTTTTATAAAAGTTACCTACTGCAGTTTTAAGATACGGACTTCCAGTGTTCTCAGTTCTTCAGAAAGTCTTCATTAATCCAGGAGGATACGGAGCAGATAACAATAGGAAAGAAAATGCAGCTAATTGTGCCAATTTCTTGACAGTTAATAGAGACATGGATGGACGATTGTTAAATAAATGTTTTCGTTTAGCTCTCTTCTTTTTTGCACAACATATATATATATGTCATAACAGTATTCACATTGGTTGTATCATCTGCTCAGAAATTCTTTATTACTAAGAATTATTAAGAACACAATTTCGTTGTTGTTTTGCCATGTGGGAACATCAGGAAAATGTCTTACTCATAAACCAAATAACATTAAGGGGGTTGTGTTATTTGGTTTATCAATAAGGCATTTCTGGTGTTTAATAAAGTTTCATGTTGTTGTCAACCAACTTTTGTATGTAAACATGCAATGTTGTAAATACATAAGCACACCCTTTCAAAATGCTTTGGATGTTTGTTTTTTTACTGTAAGAATGTAATAAACCACAAAGAATAGAACTGTGTTGATAATTAAATTATTTTAATAATTTCCCATGAATTACGTTCTGTAATAGGAATTCATTATATCACTAGTTCCCAGCATTTTTCCTTAGGGAAACCCTTTTCTATCATTGGCTAAACTGAAGTGTTGTGTTTTATGGATATTTCATATTATATTCAATGTATAAAAAAACAGTACAGAACAACTGAAACTGTACAGTGAAGCCAAAAAGTGAACACAGTAACTGCAGGACATATGCAAAACAAGAGATTTAGAAGAATTACAAGCACATTATTCCCTTTAAATATTGAATATATTGATGTCTGTATTATGTATTTTTAAATTATTAACAATGAGACATACTTAATGGGCTTCCTTTTTTGAAGAATTAATTGTAAAAATTCCATCTTCTCATTGTATAAACTGTGTATTTCTGCAGGACGAGGCTGTTTAGCAGAGAGTGAAGGCTCTGTGAATACAGTTTGTGTTCAGGTCTTCACCGTGCCCTTATCCAGTGAGATTTTTATCTTAAAATAATAATTTCATCTAGTTTTCTTCACAGAAATGAATGAAATGTTGTGATATAGGCCTACTGTATATATTTGAGCTTTTCTTACACCCCTTAAAATCAAGAAGGCCTCACAACACACTGTGAAGCTTTGGAAAATGGGGGTATAATAAAATAAAATATTATAAAATAATGGGGTATATTATTATAAATCTCTGTTTAAATATTGTATAAATGTTCCCAACCTATTTTTGTCTGACGTGTCCCCACAGCCCCATTGTATGAGCTCCTAGGATACCCTCAACTGGTATGTTCCGAATGTGTTCTTTTGAACGGATTTTCATTTTGTACCAATATTTAACTTGGTGTTGTATTTGAAGATAGTTGGTAGTGTGAGTGGGAAGGATAGACCAGCATGCAGGCGTTTATTTCTCAGATAAACAAAATGCTCCTTGTTGGTGACCTTTAAGAAGAATGATTAAAACATATCGTTTTCTACAGAAAACCAATGTGAGCAGAAAGACAAGCATGTCTCAAAAATCTAGTTTTTATGTAAATGTGGACCAAATGAGCAAGAGGAATACGTACCTTCCTCTCAGCATACATACTAACATTCAGTCAAGAAAATTACATATTTATGTATATATATATATATATATATATATACATAAATACCATCGCACATGCTGAGGATGGTATTTATGTATATTATTATAATATTGGTACAGTTTCTTGCAAGGCACAGCTGTCCTCCCTGCCAGGGCATAACAGTGTGAGACATGGCAGAGGAGTCAGAATAAAAACCTAAAATAATCTATTGTTATTAGACATTATAGTAATGAAGACTAATACATTTCAATATATCTTTATGGAATGAAAATCCAACTATAGTTATCACTGCAGAGACCGACCTTATTTACAGAGACCCAACAGTTCCCACCATGAGCAAGCACTTGGCGACGGCGGCAAGAAAAAACGTCCTTTTAAGAGGCAGAAACCACCGACAGACCCCGGCTCTAGGTGTGTGCGTCTGCCTCGACCAGTTGGGGTTAGACAGGGATAGAGAGTGAGAGAGAGAGAGAGAGAGAGAGAGAGAGAGAGAGAGAGAGAGAGAGAGAGAGAGGGGAAATAGAGAAGGACAGAGACAGAGACAAAGGTACACAGCAACTATACTAATAGAAATGACTGATGATGATGGCGACAACAGCGATGGGGGACGATGGACAATAATAATAATAATAATAATAAGAAGAAGAAGAATATCAGTAATATAAGTAATGGAAGTCAATGGCAGTCAAGCAGGACCATGGCAGGAGGCTCCACCAGAATCCATGAGAACCTGTGAGACGAGAAAGCACAAGAACTCCGAGGAAGAAGTGAAGTTAGTAACATGAATTAATGGGACATGAATGTGTGCAGAAAGAGAGGGAGAGGATGAGAGGAGCTCAGTGCATCATGGGAAATCCCCCGGCAGTCTAGGCCTATAGCAGCATAACTAAGGGATGGTTTAGGACTCACCCGAGCCATCCCTAACGTCTTAAGCCTACTCTTAAATGTGGAGAGGGTGTCTGCCTCCCGAACCAAAACTGGAAGCTGGTTCCACAAGAGAGGAGCTTGGTAACTGAAGGCTCTGGCTCCTGTTCTACTATTTATTGCTTGTATCTTTTTTTTGTTTGTTTGGCTGTTCACACAACACAACTAGCTTAACACTGACAAAAGGCACTGAAAGTGTCCTAATTAAAATGGATTAAAAACAGCGAACCTGTTTATACAGTCTCACCCAAAATACTTACGAAGTTTAACACTTCACTGTCCCTCCGCTGACTACCTCCTTCACAGCTGTCTTCCACGTTTATATTCACAAAGTAACTCCAGAATTGTGATAAATGCTGATCTAGAGTGACTTAAAAGTCATGAAATCTGTTCACACTGATATCATATTATAAAAATCAGACCTGTATCTGATTTGGACAACATATGAAAGTGTCCCAAATCAGAATTAGTAAAGATCAGATTCCATGTGATTTGTGCTGTTCACATTAAAAAACACATCTGACCCAATCCTAATCTCCACACTCAAAGGCTCACGGATGATGAGGCGTGTATGAGGTCAACACAGATACCCTAAAGTCTGCATTTCTAAGACTTTGCCTGAGGGAATTAAAGCATTAAAAAAATATTTGTTAAACAAACATAGGAGGAGCACATGAATCCTCTAAGTGCCTTGGCTGTGAAGAAAGTCAAACATGTTTTTTTCCTGATGATTATGTGGTTATGTATTTACTACTGGCTGTACAACAAATTACCCTTCAGGGATAATAAAGATATCTTTAATCCTTGAATGTAACATGATTTGGCATTGTCATGGTAATAACGTGATAAAGGCCTAATAATTTAATACAGTGATAAACCTTTTTTATACATCACTTTTCAAAATGAAACTTAGAAAAACTTTTACATGGTTGAACCAGGATTAAAACAGTTTAGGACCAAATCAGGGAATTAAAATAATACAGAAATACAATTAAGTAAAACCCCAAACAATAAAGATAAATACTAATAATAAAAGGCATGTTGGCAATAAAAAAAAGTGAACAACAAATTAATATTTCTTTACATTTTCAGAATTGTTGTAAAAGATATGTATTTGCTGATATGTTGAAGAGTGCTGCCCCATATATTTATACCATTTGAGGCCTCATGCACTCAAGCACTTACCAGGGATGTCAACTAAATCTGTGAGGGTTCAGGGCTTAAGGCTTTAGGGGGAACATTGGGGTGGGGGCATCTGAGTCACATAAAAAGTACATATTTATTATCAGGTATTATCTAGTGATCAATAGTTCTATTATTTATGTCATTAGTGATGTAATACATTATTTACTGTATGTATTAATATTGTTAAGGTGTGTTGCATCTGTCTTTTGTCTTAGATAAACTTGTTGTCACAGGAAATGGATTGTGTTAGCACAGTTATCAAAACATAGGGAGAAAACTGGAATCAAAAGAAATCAAATATGAAACACAGATTAGAAAGAAGAAAGTATCCTTCAACTTTATTTTAAAATCATCTAAAAGTGGTTGTTGTTAAAACATAACTTTGTGCTTGTAACACACAAAAAAGCAGTTTTGTGTACAGGAGTTTTCAACAGGGGTAACTTTGCAAATTTCTAAGGATTCTACTGATGTATTTTCTCTGGACAACTTGTTTTCAGCCATTCTGTACATATTGTACAAGTGGTTTTTAAAGACAGCACATGGTGCACACATAACATCTTTCCCAATGTGTATAACGTAAGGAATTTCAAAGGAAATTCCACTATCTTTGTAGATCAAAATCATTTCATACGAATGTGAAAATAAACAAACAGAACGTATGAAGCATGTAACTTCATTTATGACTCCTATATAAATGACTGTACAGTATATAGCAACCATATGCTGGTTTTTTATCTAAAGCATCTGATAAAGGTCCAGTGTGTAGGATTTAGCGGCATCTAGCGTTGTAGTTGCAAATTGCCACTTACTTGCTTCACCTTCCCTTTCCAAGTGCAAAAGAGAAACTATGGTGGTTGCAAAACATGCAAAAAAAAAAAACAGAAACAGCCCCATGTAGAGTGAGTGTTTGGTTTGTCTTTTCTGGGCTACTGTAGAAACACAGCGGTTCAAGATTGTGGCCTCCATGGAAGGCGACCCGCGACATCTGCAAATAAAAACAGCTCATTCTAAGGCACATAACAGTTCTTATTTTCAGGTGATTATACACTAGTGAAAACATACATTACCTCTGAATATTATATTCCATTTCTGACAATAGATCCTCCTAAATGTTACACACTGGACCTTTAAATTGAGGCAATAGTGTTTACTAGCTGTTAAGAGACCTAATTATGATCCAATTAGGACTAAGAGCTAATTTGATCATTTGTAGTACATGTACAGTCAAAATGAAAATTGTATGAATAAGGCTAACTGTAGTGCTAAGTCACCTGAAATGATCAAAGTTTGCTTGATATTACAAAATTAAAAAAAATGGACAATAATTGAAACATAAGATAACACTGTCATAGATGCTTACAGACTAAACTAGGCAAATTATCTCTTAGGGCACTTAATATCCTGGAACACTGACATTAATCTCTGTGGCTCCAACACAGCAACATCTGGGTTGTATTTAGCCTTGCTTATCACCACAATAGAAGGTGCCAGCATAAGGGTGCCGATTTACCATCGAACAACTTCTAAGCTGTCTTATTTACAAGCTGTAAATTGTGTATTCAAATTGTAGAAACCGAAAATTACATGAGATTGTCATTTGAAGAGTGGAGCTACTTCTTAACTGCTAGAACAACTGACTGCAGTGTGCACTGACTTGTATTCATTGTGGGGTTGCCAGGTTTGCAAAGTAACCCCTGAACAAAACTCAGGTGACTATTAGATTTATTGGTGGCTTTAAGGGGAGCCAGCAAGAGACAGCATGTAAATACAATGTTTTTGAAGTTATTGGAGATATTTTAGGCTCTGATGGAGCCTTACTTTTTCAGCTTCTTACAGTCTTTGTGCTAACTTAGACTTAAAGCTGCAGTAGTACATTGGACAGGTAATCTGTAAAAAAATGTTGGCTCCACCTAGTGCTCCTAATGACATTAACGTGAATCCACCGTACACGACAGAAAACAACCAATCAAAGCCGAGAAAGATAGTTGTTGTTGTTGAGTCTATTTCTAGCATCAGTACTTGACGACATGAGAATGAGACTGAACAATCAATCATCTTCAAGCCACTAACCCAAAGTTTCTTTCTATCATTTTTGGCTCTGATTGGTTGTCTTTCGAGTAGAGTGGATTCTTGTAAATGTCATTAGGAGCATTAGGAGGAGCCTAATTTTTTCACGCATTATCTGTCTCTTGTACTACTAGGAGGATAGGGAAGGTTTCAGTAAAGTTCCCAACTGCAGCTTTAACATACAGTGGTCCTATCTCTGTGCTGACAAACAGATGGAGTCATCAATTTTCTAATCTTACTGTGGTTAAGACAACAAAACCATGTATTCCTAAAATCATGTCATAACAGTCAAAATAGTAGGTAATTTTTATTTTAAAAAATCATATTTGGGGCTCCCAGTTAGCTCAGTCGGTAGAGCTGGCGACCCCCGTTCGAATCGACCTGTGGCCCCTTGCTGCATGTCATCCCCTCTCTCTCCGCCCCCCCTTCCTGTCTATCTTCAGCTGTCACTATCAATAAAGGCAATAAAAAGCCAAAAAAATAACAAAAATAAATAAATAAATCACATTTGCTGAAACTTTCACTGTATCCTGACAGTAGTGTACATGAGACAGATAATCTGTGAAAACATCCAGTTCCTCCTTGTTCTAGCGCTCCTAATGGCATTTGCAAGAATCCACCGGGCCTTAACGAAAACAACCAATCAAAGCCAAGAAAGATTGTCATTCTTTCTCATTCCCAAGGCGTCACATACACGCGCTTTGCGCAGTGGCGTATCCAGGGCATTTTTACTGGGGTGGCCAAGATGGGACACAAAGCTAGTGTGGGGTGGCCATGGCATAGCGAAGTTTAATGCATATACGTACACAGCCGACCGCGGTTCGAATCCTGGTCCTTTGCTGCATGTTACATCCCTTCTCTCTCCCATGATTTCCTGTCTCGTAACTGTCAAATAAAGGTGTCTGCTGGATCCTCCTCTGGGTGTGGCTGGTCAGCTGTGGGAATACACAGATATCTGAGAAATCTGAGACATCAATAGGCTGGAGGTTCTGCCACACACACACACACACACACATATATACACATATATTTTTATTTATTTTTTTACACTCACACAATACATATGTACATACATACATACATACATACATACATACATACATACGTGTGTGTGTGTGTGTGTATTTATGTATTATGCACATTTTATTATTGTTCTTCTGTCTTTTACAACTATTTTAACTATTGTTCTTGTGTAGTGATGTTTCAGAAAGTTGGTTAGTTGTATAACTGGAGTGACAAACAACAACAATGTGAGCCTACATTCAAACTATCCAAGCATGACTTACCATCCTGTGCAGGAGGAGCTGACTGCTCTTCATCACTACTGCTGTACCTAGGCTGCTGATTTGACAGCCTTTTCACTGCTGCTGGTAGAAGCTGTGGCTGGCTCTGACTCTTTCTTTCTGCTTCTCTTCATAACTATTCTCTTATTATCCCTGGGGGAAATGTAATTCAATCACTCAATCACTCAATCAATCAGTCAGTCAATTCACTTTGAAGTAATAGCTATAACTACAAACTTAGTAAAGCAGGATCATTGTCAAATTGGGTTAGAATCAGTGTGCAAAATACAGGTATTTGTGGGGCTCTGGAACCCCTTAAATAACAGCTTTGACTCCATTAAAATGTCAAAGAAAAGGAGGTGTCAACAATGTGCCTAATTATGTCTATTTATAGGATCTACAAAGGTTTATTTTTACATAACTACCACTCTTACCACTCACTTTTACACAACACAATTAACACATATTTCATCTCAAGCATTTGTGGCATTTGAATGCAATTTTCTCTGCCTCTGCCTATTTAAACGTCTAAAAATATGTGAACTGTGAAGATGAGCTAATTGACAAAAGAAAAAGTCCTTAAACAGCCCCTAAATCACAGAGCAAATAAATAAGTCACAGCTTGTTCTTGTGTTATAGTTACTTAAATCTAGACTGTCACACTATATTTCACACACTGGTTGGCCAAAAATATAACATTAGCTCTATTGAACACACACATCTGCAAAAACACCCTCAGTCTTCAGTCCAGAAAATAGTGTTTCATATTTCATGGCGGTATCCAAGTAACAATTAAAAAAACAAAATGCTAACGTACAATGCTTAAAGGGACATTGTGTAGTGTTTTAAGTATTTTATTAGCTAAAATCAATGTCTTCATTCATAAATGTGTCCTCATTGGTGTAAAATTACCTCTGCCAATGATCTGACTTATCCTCGTGAGCGAAGAATTTCTTATCTGTATATACATTGGACAAGTCCATGGAAGCTTCCATGTCGTTCTGTCATTTTGAAAAACTATTATCGCCGAGAGGGAGATAAAGAACTAGCCTACCTGTCTAGCTAATCCACAACGCGTTTTCGTTCAGAGCCAGCGTCACATGACTGAAACCAGCTATAATGGAGAAGGAGATCAGTGATCAGGGCACTTGTCACTGCCCCGGCACATTTGAAAGTCTGCACTGCACTTTAGTTAATAATGGAGGATCATACTTATGCTGAGCAACAGGAGAAGGAATCCTCGTCGCCAAAAAAGCAAAAAAGGGAATTAAAAAGGCAAAGTGACCGGCGAATTCACAAAACGAGGGAAAACATCGGGGTAGCTTTTCCCAGGTGGAAAGAGCTAATGAAGGAGAAAGACTTTCAAAGGGATGCTGAAGTTGCCTGCTTTCTCCTCAACAGGTAGGCTTCTTGGTACATAACGGCTACCGTAGTTGCAATACGCATTTGAAAACGCAAGGCACTAGAGAGCACTATTCGTTTGAATGCAAAATACAATTTCACCGCTAGATGGGAGAAATTCCTACACAATGTCCTTTAACTTGGTTTGCAGGCTGCTAAGCTAGCTAGTGCAGTGTAGTTCAACTTTTAGCTGCTACTTAGTGCTAGATAAAGTTTTCCTACACATTCAGAGGGAACTACGATATAACTAAACATTAATTACCATACCTCTCAATCAACAGATTTCAGCGTTTTTATCGTTGTTGTATTGTTGATGTTGTAACTGTGACCGTCCTCTTGTTTCATGGACCAGCAGCAGCAGGTGCAGCGTGCTTATCTCATGGGTCACCTGACCTGCATGGCCAAACGTCTGCTGAGCAGAAATCAGCTCTCACAGCCTCAGTATGACCATTACTGTGTTAGTTTAAAATGTAAAACTGGCCCTAAATCAGTTGATCAGCTGTCATCATTGATTGACAGCATTTATCTTGTTTCTTGTGTTGATGAACTTGACCAACTACCTATCAGATCTGGGGTGAACACAGGGGTGGCCAATGAGCTTTCAGGGGTGGCCCCGGCCACCCCAGGCCACCCCCGAGAATATCCATTGGCTTTGCGACCCTGGGAATGAGACTCAACAATCAACTAACTCCAAGCTTCCAACCCATGATTGGTTATTTTTGTCCATACCCGATGGATTCTTGCAAATGCCATTAGACATGCTATATAGAGACAGAGGAACCTGATTTTTTCAGAGATTATCTGTCTCATGTACTACTGTCAGGATATAGTGAAAGTTTCAGCAAATACGACTCATTTTAAGTTTTTAGCGGTCTTATATTAACATTGAAATCAGAGAAAGTTTCTGTGATTCCTGAATTCAGTCAGTCCTTCGTTGAGACCGTAAATGACACAATTAATATGTAACATCTATGACATACCAATAAACTAAACAAAGGTTTGGACATCAGGCATTGGCTAAATAATCAATTATAGCTTCCTTTTATTCATTGTAACCGGAGGCTCCTGCAGAGTGTGATTATTAGAGCACACCCTTCTTCGTCCCCACATGGCACAGCTAAGTGGAGAAGCCAATGCAGAAGTGCCTTGCTCTTCTTCTAATGACCACTTCAAAACACTTTGTGGTAAGTGGTAATTAGATATTGAGGCTTAAAGTTAGCTTTTCTGGTTGTGTTTGCTTGCTTACATTAGGCTGAGGTGACTGCTGTTTGTGCTTGAGCTCCAACCAGGCTTAACATTTCCAGTTCCACACCCAAATCCAAGCTTTGAACAGTTCCATACAGTGTATGTCTGTGACTCAGATTATGAGACTGGAGCAAAAACTGCACTAATAAGATTCCAGTCCAAATTAGTAGTGTAGATTTGCCGGGACTTCTAGTGGCTTCATTTATAAAGGCCCCTTGAACTGGTTACCTGAAAGCTGCTGTCGGATGGAAGGCTTGGAGCTGGCAACATCACCCAGCTTTCTCCAAACCACCTGAAAGAGAGAAACAACACAGTGTCAGAGTGATAGTCCTCAGGAAGTCAGTCAGAGGAAGCACTTTATAACAGAAAGTGGAATATACCAAAAGTGTGACAAAACATGAAGACATATGCAACCAACAATTGCATCACCGCTGAATATACTGTATACCTCCTAAACCTCAAACTCTGTCCACTGCTGTTAACTCCTATTACTCTTTTTATCATCTGACATATGTATACTTACTTTTTACATGAAAATGTGTGTATGCATGTGTGTCTGTGTGTGCGTGTGTGTGCTCATACCAACTGCATTGACTTCATATGTGGTATGATGTAGTTGGCTCAATTCTTGATTACAGTATAATATTGGACTGCATTACAAACTGAATGGCTGGGTTTTATATTGCAAGCCACATTTCATAAATTATAATAAATACTGTAATTGCAAGCTTTGTTCAAATCCAGAGAACTTTATTCTAAATTCTGGTTAAGATTCACATTTGTTTGATACAGACCCCAAAAAATGTCACATCATTATGAATTTTTTTTTGAGTGAAAATGAAAATGGTAATGAAAGATTGCACTAATCTCTAATCACTAATCGTGAAACATTGCAATTGCAATACTGTATATTTTTACCATATAGTGCAGCCCTATTAAGATACCAACTTTTCTAACATCAGGCTGAAATTTTAGTATATATAGTGCAAGCATTAAAAATGTGGATTGCACTAGAAAAGTGTTTTGTTTCGATTTTTTTACAACTTCTATCTACTGACTGATATGTTATTACAGTATACTGCATATAACTTGGTTTAGTGGCCCAAACTTTCGTTAGGGTTTGACTGAGAACATTTCATTCTAGAGAGTAGCAGCTCGACGCAACAGCTCCCGCTGCGCCTCTTATTTTTTCGCCTTAAATCTTACTACTCCTTTATTCCTTCTTAAATAGCACTGTGTTTATTGTTGTAAATATACCACAAGTGTTTTTTTTACTTTTTTAGCCATATAAAAAAAACAAAAATTTTTACAAAAAAGTATGGAATTCATTGCCTTAGATGATCAGCCATTTTCTGTCATAGAGGATGTGGGATTTCGTAGGCTGATTATTATTCTTATTAGTCATTCATTCATTCATCATTAAGTTAAAGTTACACATTTTATTTTTAATTTAATTTTATTTTATATTGTGCACTGTTGTAATGTCAGTGCTAAATAAATATTTTCATACTTTTCTAATTGATTTATTCTTTGAATTGCAATGCCTTGATTTTAGTGAGGTTAGTACACAGTCATAGCCATAAATGCAATGGTGCTAATAATTGGCATAATAATTTCTTTTGGTGTTTCGGTTTTCGCCCTTGGTTTCCTCATTTTCGGTTTTCGGTTTCGGCCAAGAATTTTCATTTTGGTGCATCCCTAGGTGTAACCCTGGACATGTTGTCAAGAAGGCAGAAATCTGCACGCCTGACATTGAACTGCTGGCCATAGGGCTATGGCCATACTATCTGCCCCGTGAGTTTTCGGCCACTATTGTTGTCATTGTTTACATTCCTCCATCAGCAGTAGCGGCACACGCCTGTGACGTCATCCACTCTACCGTTGCAGACCTGCAGACACGTCATCCCAGCGCATTCATCATAATAAACAGAGATTTTAACCATGCCAAAATCTCAAAGACCCTGACAAACTTTACCCAGTACATCACCTGTAACACTAGAGGGGAAAAGACCTTGGATCTGCCGTATGGCAATGAAAAGGAGGCATACAGCGCGACCGCCCTCCCCCCTCTCAGCAAATCTGACCACTGCCTGATACATCTCAATCCTACATACAGGCCTGCTGTTAGGAGGAAACAGTCCATCACCACCAGGATTGTGAAACAGTGGTCGGTGACGGCAGAGGAGGCCTTGATGGAGTGTTACAGGACAACCGACTGGGAAGTGTTCCAGGAAGACTACGGAGACGACATCGAGGGTCTCACCCAGTGTGTCACAGACTACATCAGGTTCTGTGAGGACAGCATTATTCCCACCAAGACGATTCGCTATTTCCCAAACAACAAGCCATGGATCAGCAGGTACATCAAAGCCCTGTTGAACAGAAAGAAGATGGCTTTGATGGCAGGAGATGAGGATACCAAGAAAGACATTCAGAGGGAGCTGAGGAGGGAGTTGAGGAGGGCCAAAGACTTTTACAAGAACAAGATAGAGGGAAAGCTGCAACAGACCAGCACAAGAGCGGTCTGGGGGGGGGGTGAGGCGCATTACTGGCATGAAAAGATCAGTAGGTTCAGTAGAAGGGACAAAGGGACGTGCCAACGAGCTAAACCTGTTCTTCAATAGGTTTGACTCACAAACCCCACCCTCCTCCTCCACAGCCCGTATTCCCCATGACGACAGTAACACCACCCCCCTCATCTGCCCTAAACCCCCCTCCACTCCCTCCCCTTTCCCACTCCCCCTATCCTCTCCATTTTTCCACCCCACAAACCTCCACCTCCTCCCCCCACCTACGTCTCGCCACTGGATGGCAGAAAAGCTCTCAGTGATGCAGGTGGATCAGGACCTCGTGGCCTGGATCACTGACTACCTCACTGACAGACCACAGTATGTCAGACTGCACAGCTGCTTGTCAGATGTGGTAACAAGCAGCACTGGTACACCCCAAGGAACTGTACTGTCACCGTTCCTGTTCACCCTCTACACCTCTGACTTCTGCTTCAACTCTGGAGCGTGCCACCTACAGAAGTTCTCTGATGACTCCTCCATTGTCGGCTGTATCTCAGATGATAGGGAGGAGGAGTACAGAGACCTGATTGAGAACTTCATTGGATGGTGCGACAGGAACCACCTACAGCTCAACACAGGAAAAATCAGTGAGCTGGTGGTGGACTTCCGGCGGAGCAAGAGGACGCCCTCCGCAGTTGAGATTAGGGGGGAGATCTTTGTCTCAGTCTTAACAAATTGCACATATGACTTGAAAGTGGACCAAACCCTGCATTTGTAGAAATCAGAGACTGTATAATATTTAGCAAATCCTTGCTGAATCACCATGTTTGACGCTGTGTGGAAGTTCCATTTATGGATCGACTGGAGACCTACTGTGTGTAGGTGCATTTCTTTCAGATCAAAGAAAAAAAAGAAAGAAAAAGAAAGGTCATATTTAAACCTACATTGCACATCTCTCTGATGATGGCCTTCTCTTTCTCACTAAGATCTTCATCATATTCCTGTGAGCTCTGCCTGTCCAGCTTCTCATGGACTTCCAGCACCTACACACACACACACACACACACACGAATCTACAGCAATACAATATTGAAATGGCCTAAAGATTCAAGAGCTCAGGCTTCCTAGTAAAACCTTTGGCTTACAGTAGCCACTAGGGGCAGCTGCTGTCATTCATAATTACATTACCATGATAAAAGAATCACACGCTGTGTGTACCTACTTACATAATCCTCTCCACCTTCCACTTTGTTGTTTTGTGCTCTTTTTAAGCTGTTGATAAGTCTTGATCAAAACCACACTTAGACCCAGAATGGACTACTTTAACTGATTGAAGAGGTCAGTGAAAGCAGAAAATAGCCATAATTAGCTTTAGTACAGTTGGATTTCTTTTACCCAGATTGCCTGTAAAATAGCAGACATCTACACAGCCTTAAACTGCTCACACAGGCTGGCTTGTGGACCACATTCATTGCGTGGACTACAGCTTCTGGTTTCTGTGGTGGAAGGTGGGCGAGGGTTCAAAGTTGGGGGTCAGAGAAGCACCCTGGGAAGAAAATTGGCACCCTCTGATCACAATGACTGTAATCACCAGAGATACACTATAGCAACACCCAGCAATAAAGAAGGAAAAAGTAACCGTATAGAAGACAGGAAAAAGAAACCCAGAAGAAGGTACAAAAGGAGGCAGAACTGCTCAAGCAGATAAACATGTTTTAGTTGACCTACTGTATTTGCAATGAAGCAGGAGAGGATCAATCAGCCAGACCTATATCAATAGGTGAGGTAGGATGTCTTGCAACTGTTGTAAGGAGCTTACATTTTCCTTCTATTTGATGTTGGCATTAATACCCTACCTTAGATAATGACAGAAACCTGAAGAAAAGAAAATTAGTGAGGAGGACGCTAGTTACACAAACAGTTTTTTCCTCCCACATCTGATTTCCACAAGCATTTACACATAAACTCAATTAGCTAATTTGATGTCCTGTCTCTGTAAGCCTCTATAAGGAATGCCCCGGTGGAGGAGGGGTTTGTCTATTCACATTATTTATTCACTGCTGTGGTTTCTAGTGGAGCAACACTTTAACCAGAAGGTGAACAGCCTGCCATGGTTAAAGATGGCTCCAAAAAACGGGTAATAACGGGTAATTAAAGCTGCAAGCAGCGTTGGGCAGGACATCGCATTCCACGTAACTCGGGGATGTGCTGCGGCTGCATCATGGGCCGTCATGACACGTGCGGACCACAACATGAAAATTTCACGTAAATCAGTTCAGAATCAGCCCGCAGCGCTTACTTCCTGTTGCCAGTAGGTGCCGCTATCACTATGTCTGAATATTGTCATGTAGACGTGTTCAGGGCGGGACTGAAGTCTCGTTGAGATTGGACCATGCACGCTGAAGTTATGAGGACGTGTTCAGGGCGAGACTGTTACAGAATATATTTAGTTTATTGGAGATTGGACATTGCACACTGAAGTTATGAGTACTGTTTTATGGCGAATCGGCTGAATTCGACAAGTCGTCACTGGCTCGCGGTTTGACGTACAGTCACAAATAGCTAAATTTTTCATTTAGTTTGTGTGACAACAGAATACAAAATGGCCAACTTTGACAGCACGCAACAGACACGCCTTTCAACGTACAGTCTCAAATAGCACAACTTTTAATCAGCACCATTTTTGACTGTACTGACCAATTTTGAAGTAGATCCGATAAATTCCCAAGGAGGAGTTAATTCAAATACAAAGCGAAAAATAACTGAAAATGAGCACGGAATTCAAAATGGCCAACTTTGACAGCACGCCACGGACACACCCTTCAACGTACATGCACAAATAGCACAACTTTTGATCAGCAACATACTTTGACTGTACAGACCAATTTTGAAGTAGATCCAATAAAGTCCCTAGGAGGAGTTCGTTCAAATACAAGGCGAAAAATCACAGAAAATGAGCACGGAATTCAAAACGGCTGACTTTGATGCCACGCCACGGACACGCCCTTTAATGTACATGCACAAATAGCACAACTTTTAATCAGCACCATTTTTTGACTGTACTGTCCAATTTTGAAGTAGATCCAATAAAGTCCATAGGAGTTCGTTCAAATACAACGCAAAATGTAAAAAAATCTAAATGGCCGACTTCCCGTGGGGTTTGGGGTATGGGTCCAAGAGGCTTTTTTGTACGTCTCGGCACATTACACGTGCCTACCAAGTATGTACATATCGGTGAAACGTGGCGCCTTTTTTAAAATCCGGTAGGGGGCACGACAAACACAATTTTTGGTATGTGAGCTACAGGCACCACTCTTCACGTGCCCTGTGAATTTCATATTCATAAGTATTACGGTCTCCCCACAGTGATTTACCATGCCACCAGAGCGCCACCTAGTGGCAGATTGTTGTGACATTTATTAGCGAGCCTCAGAGAGGCAAGCATCGTACCAAGTTTCATTTTAATCACACATGCTGATGCAGAGATATAAACGTTTTACTTTGAAAGAGCGCCTCCTCAAATTGTTCAAGATTGTTCACGATGCCTAAGGAAGACATGGGGAACTATGGACCCAAGCTTGGTGTCAAACAGACATACCACTTCCACTTTGGTCCACTTCCTTTTTTGACGAAAAATCTTCAGCAAGTCTTAATTTTATAGCGTGCTTATTTTTTGGAATTTCAAAAACGTTCAAATCACTTTTTTTTGCCAGGGCAGTCCCCAGGTGCTAGATGAAAAACTTTGTGCGAGTCGGACAAAGCGTGTAGCAGGAACACGAAAAAGTAGTTTAAGGACGTTTTGCGCTCTAACGAAAAAAAATTATAGGCGAAAGTGGGCGGGGCCTATATGGGAAGATTCACCGACGTTCACCGAACGCGTGGATATAAGGTTTTTGAATGTGCGACAAACAATGTGGGAGTTATTAAGTAACCAAAAAGTCAACGCATTTTTCTTAATAGTAGCGCCACCTAGTGGCTGACCCGAAAGCGACACATAGAATATCCCATTTTTCACCAGGCCTGACGACTTTGCCAAATAAAATTGAGTTTTAGTATATGTTCAGGGGAGCAAAAACGCAGTCAATGGTGTTCAAATACAACGCGAAATGTCAAAAAATCAAAATGGCCGACTTCCCGTGGGGTTTGGGGTATGGGTCCAAGAGGCTTATAATTCTTATAATAATAAGAAGAAACATAGCAAATACAATAGGGACCTCCAGCGGTTGCTGGCTCGGTCCCTGACTAGAAAATTCCTAAAGAAATTTTCGAGTGTGCCTGACTCTGGCCCATAAATTAATACCATGTCTTACTCTCTAGCACACTAGCTAGCTAGCGCTAGGATATTAATACCATGTCATTCTCTTTAGCTAGCTAGCGCTAGCATTTTAATTCCTTGGAGTTCTCTTTAGCTAGCTAGCTAGCGCTAGCATATAAATAATTTTTCATTCTCTTTTGCTAGCTAGCTAGCGCTAGCATAATAATACCTTGTCAACCTCTTTAGCTAGCTATGTGTGTGCGTGTATGTGTATGTTCACAGGAAGGCTTTGGTTGTCGTGGCAACCAGGGGAGGCCACAGCAGCTGCGCGCTTTCTCTCTGTCACTAACTCCTGAGAGTCACAGAAAATCTCATTGAATCCCCTCGAACCATTGGCCAGGAACGACCGAAATGAAAACCGAAAAGACCATGAGCACCGTCATCCTGTTGACCATAGGACTGCCGAGTTTCAGTGGCTAAAGTAAAAAAATGTGACCTCAGGAGATTTAGGAAGAACAGTTGCAACAAGCTCCTTTCAAAATTTCTCCTCTACAATTAACATGGGAGTAGATGGGGCTGTGAGAGGGTGTTGCTGGCGCATCAGTACGTTTCCTGCCAAAACTATTTGTCTGACAGCTTCAGCAGTGTTATTACTGCGACCCCAATGGATTTACCGACATTTCTAGCGATAAATTATTTCTGTAGAGTGACATTTGTGGCATTGAGAGCAGTTTACAAATTTATTTCTCGACAAATTTTTCTCTCTGTCCACACTCTAGTTATAATGTCAGGCACTCTAGCTGTGAGAATTCTACCAATACACACCCATTAATTTTTCTGGCCTGGTTTTTGGCGATTTATTGGCAAACTGTTTGGTGAAACGCTTAGAATAGCACTAATCTCCCAGCCAAGCCGCACGTTTTGATACCTTTTTTGTGTATGTGCGACCAAAACTGCAGGAGGAGTAGTCGACCGAAAAACGACATTGGAGAGTAATACCTGTTCACAGTCAAGCTTGTGAGCTGCAGGCTTTGGTTGCTAGCCGACCAGGTCCAGAAATCGGCAGTTATTTTCAGTTGAACATTCTACCAATACACACCCATTCGTTTTTGGCCTGGTTTTTGGCCATTTATCAGCAAATTGTTTGGCGAAACGCTTAGAAAAGTCATAGCATGTCCCCACCGACCCGCACGTTTTGGTACCTTTCTGTGTATGTGCGACCAAAACTGTGGGAGGAGTAGTCGACCAAAAAACGTACAGAAGAATAATAAGTATGAGCAATAATATTAGTGTGCTTTCCAGGCACACCAATAAGCACGAGGAATAATAGTAGTGTGCTTCCCAGGCACACTAATAAGTATGGTGGATAGTAGTAGTGTGCTTTTCCAGGCACACTAATTATGGGTATAAGAAAAAGATAGTTATGATGCAAATCAGACATGAGACTGCTGAATGCATTGGGTAAAGGATGGTATGATGGTCAGTTTCTATATAATTCTCTATACACTAACTATACACTATAAATACACAATTCTATACTACTGTAGCCTACTGTTTATACTCACTAAAGTAGTGTCACCTCAATGATCACAAGTAGCAATGTGTAGTCGTGGAAAAGAGAGAAGCACACTGGTCTGTAGTATTCTTACAATATTCCTATGGCATTTCTATGATTATTCTATAGCGTCTGATCTGCTGAAAACACTTCCCCAGACCAAGCCACTGAAAATATTTTGGGGGAGACCTAAGTAGAGAGGCTGTAGATTTTTTACTGTAGATGTAAAAACACTGCACTTAGTGCTACAGTTAAATTAAAATAAAGTTTACACCATCAAAACTACAATGTGTTTTGAAAAATAAGAATTATTAACACTATCTGTTTGTTATAGTGTACTGCGCTCCTGGCCCCTACTCTGATTTTCTATCTGAATGAGTTTTGTTTATCAAGTTTAGTCCTTAAAACCGACAAAGTAATTATTGTAGGGGATTTTAATATCCATGTGGGTGTTGACAATGACAGCCTTAGTAATGTATTCATCTCATTAATAGACTCAATTGGCTTCTGTGAGAGTGTAAATAAACCCACCCATTGTTTTAATCACACTCTTGACCTCGATCTATTATATGGCATTGATATTGAACATTTAATAGTGTGATGGCCCAAGCCACACAGGGTAAGAGCCAGCAATGGTAATACAGTACACAAGGCTACCATGTTTCGTTAAGTACACAGGTTAGGTTCTTTTTGCAGTTAGCCACACATCAAACAATTCATAATTTCAAATTACAGATTACAGTTTATTTGAGTTATAATATACATTTATTTGCTTTTGGCCAAATGGAGTGCACACATTTTCACATTGTAGGGTTAAGTAAATATTTTCTGTTATATTAATCATTGTTTCTTGTGTTACCGTGTGGAGGAGGTCTGTCCTGGTGGAAGAAAGGCATGGCCAAGGGTGGAGGATTGTTATATCCTGTGGCCTGTCAATCAAGCCATACCATGTGCTGCCATGTTGGAGGGGGATTTTGGGTTTAATTTGTTTTACTTGTAGTAGTTGTGGTTGGCGTCCATTTTGTTTTCCCCTTGTTTGTAAATTGGTTTGGCCAAGCTACTATATATGTTCCCTTGTGTGTCTCATTCAGTCAGGTCAGTTTGTTCAGTTCATATTATGTTTGTTGTATGCTGTTTTAAGTATAGTTATATTTTGTTGACCTCTTTTATAGACCTAGACGTTAAATTCTTGGTTTCTATTGTTTGGTATTTTTGGGTCATTAAAAAAAAACTCCTGTTTCCTCATTGCTTGACTGTTTGGTCCCTGACAATAGTCTTCCCACAAAATCCTTTTCTATCTGACCATTATTTAATAACTTTTGAATTCCTTACTATCTAATCCTATTACTAGATTATAAGTCATTAGGCAAAACGTCCTACAGCAGATGTCTATCTCTACAGCTAAATGTAAGGAGGAGATTCCATCAGTGTTTAATTCAATGCCTGAATAACTTCAAATAACTGAATCCTATAATAACTTTAGTCCCTCCCAAATTGATCATCTCGTTAATAGTGCTGCAGGGTAGGGCGTCTGGATACCTCAGTGGGTAGAGCTGGCGACCCATGTACCAAGGCTGGGTCCTTGCTGCAGCGGCCCAGGGTTTGAATCCGACCTACGGCACTTTGCTGTGTGTCATCCCCTCTCTAACTGCCCCCCTTTCCTGTCAATCTTCAGCTGTCACTAAAATAAAAGCAATAAAAGCCCAAAAAATATACTTAAATAGTGCTGCAGGCTCACTGTGAACAATTTAATTTTGCTTCCGACAATGGACTTGTCTCTGTACTTGTATTATTAGATCAATTTGACACAATTGACTATCATATTCTTTTACAGAGACTTGAGCATCAATTTGGCATTAAAGGAACGGCACTACGCTGGTTTATGTCCTATTTATCAGATCGTTCACAGTTTGTACACATTAACAATGAATCCTCCATAAACACTGAAGCTAGTCATAGAGTTCCACAAGGTTCTGTGCTTGGACCAATTCTATATGCTTCCCTTAGGCGATATTATTAGGAATCACTCCATTAACTTTCACTGTTATGCAGATGATACCCAGTTATATCTGTCGATCAAGCCTGATATTAATCAGTTATTTAAGATACTACCATGTCTTAAGGACATAAAATCCTGGAGCTGCAATTTTCTGATGCTAAACTCAAAACTGAAATTCTTGTACTTGGCCCCAAACACCTCCGAGACTCACTGTCTAAAAAAATAGTTGTGGTAATACCATCTAGAGTACCACATAACATATGTGGAGACATCAACAATTGAACATTCTGTACTGTAGTTGTTTGTACTGTGTGTTTAGGTAACTGTACACCATGCCCTAATTTTATGTCATTTTGATGTCAATCATCAGAAGACAAAGTCACTGTTGGTGTGGTGGCAGTAGTTACCTGACAGGAGATGCTTATTTTGATCCTCCAGCATCCTCAACCTGTTCTCTAGCTGTCTGATGTAACTATCTGATGCATCTGAATCTTGAAAAACAAAAACAAAAGCATAAATGTTAGTCTGGCTTTGACAAACTAATTCCCAAATGCAGATTTGGACCTGCCAGAGCACACAAAACATCGGCAGATTTATCTGGTCTGAACCAAGATCTTAGATGGACCAAATGTTAACATTAGTTTGTTAATGGTTGCATATACATTTACTGTATTAAATGTTCTGTGTAAGATTCTGAGGCATTTTACATATTATTTTTATGAATGAATCACTTTTTATTACCAATGAGTGAATGGGTTGTAACGTAATTTAAAAAATGAGACCCCCAACTTTTTGCCTGTGGATTTATATGTGTTTCTATGTAGGGATGAGGGTTGGATTTTTTTTTGTGAAAATCCAAAGCATGTGACATTTATGTGCACTCCCAAGTGCCTTCTCTCTCCACCTCACTTCAGGGTCACTAGCTAACGTTAGCTTATAAATGGAGTCCACTAACGTCTACAAACGACCAACACCCACCACAACACAGAGTTCAACACAAAGTCAAAAGTCAAAGCTAACATTACTGCAAAGTTTGTTGAATATATTGTGGTTTTAGCTGGCTAATGCCTTGTGATGATGATGTCTGGTGGCAAGCGATAGCAATGTAACGCTGTTTCTGGTTAAATAAAAGGTCTCTGCAGGTATCCTTTCAAGACACTTAGAATAACAAAATGAGTCTGTCAGTGGAAAAAACAAGCATTAAGCAGTGTACTTAGACAGGTGCAAAGATTATACTGCAGACATTGCAGCCTGTCTCTTAAATATTTTCATATCTAACTCAGTGATTTAAAGGTTTATTTTAACCAAAACAGCGATAGTGACTGGTAGGAAAGACTTTACTATTCAGACAGGGATGACATAAAGCCAATGGCCACAGGTTGAAGTCGAACCTATGGCCACTGCAGCAAGGACTCAATCTTGGTACATGGGTCACAAGCTCTACCAGGTGAGCTATCAGGGCACCCCAGAGATGCTTACCAATATCTATGTAGATTCCATTGTTTCCAGACACATAATGGTGAATAAATAACTACAAAAAAACATTGGTATCAGCATAGGATCATTTACATCGTTATTGGCCCATAATTTCACAGTGCAAACCTCACATGGGCTCAAAATAGTTTGTTCTCTCCTAGTTTTGCTTAGGCCATAATCCAGTCTGGGGGAATGTGATGACTATATGCACAACAGTCTCTGATTTCCCAGTGTTTGGCCAGCCTAAATCCCATGTTGTTCATATTGTATATTAGCCAGGGGCAGCCTTACATCCAAGCTAGGCTAGCAAGGCTCCAGCTCTTCCTCTCCTCCTGGGAGTGATCACAACTCCCACCGGTGTGGGCTTATCCAGGAAATTTGGATTGTCTTAAGGTCTGCTGCTTTTTAATTCAAGGGGGTCACCGCCCCTTGTGGCCCAATTGTTGAAAAACGCGTGCTAAAGTGCCCTCTTGGGAGCCAAAACTCGTGCTAAAGTGCTCTCTTGGGAGCCAAAATGCGTGCTAAAGTGCCCTCTTGGGAGTCAAGACGCATGCTAAAGTGCCCCATTGGGAGCCAAAACGCGTGCTAAAGTGCCCTCTTGGGAGCCAAAATGTGTGCTTTACTGCTCTCAAGTGTCCTCTTGGGAACCGAAACGCGTGCTAAAGTGCCCTCTTGGGAGCCGAAACGCGTGCTAAAGTGCCCCATTGACTCCTTCAGTGTTTAATTCAATGCCATGTCTGAATTTAGTCTTATTTTAGAGTCCTATAACAACTTTAGTCCCTCTGAAATTGATAATCTTGTTGATAGTGCTGCAGGCTAACTACGATCAACGAGAGACTCTATCTCTCCTATAAAAAGGAAATTATTAAAACATAGGAGACTAGCACCGTGGTACAACCACCAAACCCGCCCGTTAAAGCAAATAGCTTGGAAATCTGGAAGGAAATGGCGCTCTTTCAAATTATCAGAATATCGCTCAATTTGGCAAGATAATCTTAAAACTTATAGAAAGCCGTCAACCTGTTCCCTTAATTGGCACTTCTTTACTGGATATGATTAATCTTTCTTTATTATCAGGATATGTACCACAGTCCTTTAAAGTAGCTGTAATTAAACCCCTTCTTTAAAAGCCCACTCTTGACCCAGGGGTTTTAGCCAACTATGGACCGATTTCTAACCTACCCTTCCTCTCTAAGATTCTGGAGAAAGTAGTCGCCAAAGAGTGTGTGACTTTCTACATAACAATAGTTTATTTGAGGATTTTCAGTCAGGATTTAGAGTTCATCATAGCACAGAGACAGCTCTGGTTAAAGTTAATAATGACCTTCTGATTGCTTCTGACAATGGACTTGTCTCTGTACTTATATTATTAGATCTTAGTGCTGCATTTGACACCATTGACCATGATATTCTTTTACAGAGACTTGAGCATCAAATTGGCATTAAAGGAACCGCACTAAGCTGGTTTAAGTCATATTTATCAGATTGTTCACAGTTTGTACATGTTAACGATGAATCTTCAATAAATACTACAGTTAGTCATGGAGTTCCACAAGGTTCTGTGCTTGGACCAATACTATTTACTTTATATATGCTCCCTTTAGGCAACATTATTAGGAATCACTCCATTAACTTTCAATGTTATGCAGATGATACGCAGTTATATCTATCGATCAAGCCCGATGAAATTAATCAATTATCTAAATTACAAACATGTCTTAAGGACATAAAGTCCTGGATGAGCTGCAATTTTCTGATGTTAAACTAAAAAAAAACCCCGAAATTCTTGTTCTTGGCCCCAAAAACCTTAGAGACTCACTGTCTAAAGATATAGTTACTCTAGATGGCATTCCCTTGGCCTCTAGCACCACTGTCAGGAATCTTGGAGTTATCTTTGATCAGGATTTGCCATTTAAATCCCACATAAAGCAAACCTCCAGGACTGCCTTCTTTCATTTACGTAATATTACAAAAATTAGACACATCCTATCACAGACAGATGCAGAAAAACTAATCCATGCATTTGTTACTTCAAGGCTGGATTACTGCAACTCTTTATTATCAGGTTGCCCCAATAAGTCCATTAAAACACTCCAATTAATTCAGAACGCTACAGCAAGAGTACTGACAGGAACTAGAAAAAGAGATCACATCTCTCCTGTACTAGCTTCTCTGCACTGGCTCCTTGTAAAATTTAGAATAGAATTTAAAATTCTCCTCCTCACCTATAAAGCTCTTCATGGTCAGGCCCCTTCATATCTTAAAGAGCTCATAGTACCCTATTACCCCTCTAGTTAGGGCTGGATCAGGTGAGTTCTGAACCATCCCTTAGTTATGCTGCTATAGGCCTAGACTATCGGGGGATTTCCCATGGTGCACTGAGCTCCTCTCTTCCTCTCTCTTTCTGCACTCATTCATGTCCCATTAATGCATGTTACTAACTTCACTTCTTCCCCGGAGTTCTTGTGCTTTCTCGTCTCGAAGGTTCTCATGGATCCTTGTGGTGCCTCCTGCCATGGTCCTGCTTGACTGCCATTGCTAATTGCTAATTAGGGACCGAGCACTAACAAGTGCAAGGACCCTATTGTTCCTCTAGGAATTATTATTATACCTCTGGGACTTCGACCGCATATTTGGCCCCCGCAACATGCTCAAAATGCCATGAAAATTTCCACAAAATTCGAACGTAGCTAAAATACCGATATGACATTGTCCCTGTGCATGGGCGCCGCCAAACGGCTAAGCCACGCCCCCCAGAATCAGCCCCCAAGACACGTAAGGCCCACATGTACGAAAATTGCTACGCATGTGTATCATGATAAAAGAAGCAGAAAAGCCTCTTGGACCCATGCCCCAAACCCACAGGAAGTCTGCAATTTCAATGTTTAATTTTCATCATTTTGTGGTCATTTTGACTTTTTGGGCTTGTATTTGAACGAACTCCTCGTAGGGAATTTATCGGATCTGCTTCAAAATTGGTCAGTACAGTCAAAACATGGTGCTGAATGAACGCTGTTCAATTTGTAACTGTACGTTGAAGGGCGTGTCCGTGGCATGCCGTCAAAGTTGGCCATTTTTAAGTCCGTGGTCATTTTCGGTGAATTTTCGCCTTGCATTTGAACGAACTCGTCCTAGGGAATTTCTGGGATCTGCTTCAAAATTGGTCAGTACAGTCAAAACATGGTGCTGAATGAACGCTGTTCAATTTGTAACTGTACGTTGAAGGGCGTGTCCGTGGCGTGCCGTCAAAGTTGGCCATTTTGAACGAATGTCACACTGTGATGTCATTTTTGGCATTTCAGGGCTTCTATTTTAACTAACTCCTCCTACAGGTTTTATTGGATCTACTTCAAAATTGGTCAGTGCAGTCAGTTTTTTTCGTCCAACATTGTGCCCGTGGCGTCCCGTGGCATCCAATTTCAAACCTTATTAAGACAAAGTACTTTATTAAACACACATGCAATAAGCAGTTTGGCATATTTTGTCAAAACAGAATCACTGTTATCAACGAGATCCAGAGTCTACATGCCAAATTTAGGCGGAGCATTGAGCTAAATGCAAATGCAATGATTTAACTAACATGCTAACAACAACAATGCTGACATTGCGGATTTTTATAATATATATAATGTTAACTATTGTGTGAAGTTCTCCTATTTTCAAATATGTAATGTTGTCTCATACTATGTTATTATGTTGGGAGTTCATAGCGCCCTCGAGCGGCAGCAGTCCACCTTGTATTTTTTGTTCCTCTGTGATTTTTTCGTACTTGCTGTGCTTCGGTTTGACTGGTGAAGCTGAGCTGGTGAGTTAATATGTATACAAAGTGTTTGTAACTCGAGTTAACTATCATAAATATGTCCGTGCCATTAATGTAGCGATGTTGTTTATATTTTGTGTTTTCCAGTTGATTACCTGCTGACGGCACGATCACTGTTTAAGTGCTAAAAGAAAAGCATGTGTGGAGTTGCTGAGAAAAGGAAATAAACACGTGAAAAAGATATTGAGTGTCGGA